AGAGCCGCGCTCCCTGAGCCCAGGGGCTGCAGTTGGCTCTGGGGGGTCCCAGGTTGGCAGCCGGGGGAGGCAGGGCCCTGTGCACCTCTGCCTGTTCAGCCTGTTCTTCTGGTGCAGGACCAGTCATTTGTCTGGCCCCACTGTGAACCTGGTGGCTGCATCACCGCATGATGATACCACTGCTAGCTGGCTTGATACGTTAATTTTCAGCTGTATCAGTCTCCCTGTGCAACTGCACAGAAGACAAGACAGAAACACAATAGTTGCCGTGTGTAAATAAGTCAGCATTGGCATGCCTTGCCAGAAGAGGTGGATAACTCACAGATCTGTCTTGCTCAGAAGTCCATGGAAGTGCTTTCATCCAACAGCAGTTCGAGGATGTGAGTAGCTAACTCCTGCTGTTTGCAATCAGGAAAAATGTTCCATCCAATTATACTAAAATTATGCTTGAAGATACAATTTTATCACTTTCTTTTTCTCTTGAGTTGCTGTGAAATAATGGAGTATTTGGCAATAAAAACAGCAAAAACAAAGTAATGCCTTCGACACTGAATATGTGCTAAATAATTCACGGAGGCTTTACTCTCTTGAAATCATTCTGAGTTACCCAACATCTTGAAAACCTGTTTGTCATTTACGGTGTGTTTGCTGTGGTTCATCAGAGGGCTTTTCTGCATGCTGCTGCAGCTGTGAGTGAATGCAGGAGTTTGCCTTCTCTGGTCTTCTCCCGAGCACAGTTGTTCTGGGGCCTGTTTTTGTCCGGGGATTTTCATAAGCCTTTTCCACTATGGTCAGTGCTGCTCAGGCTTTTTACACTTTGTGGGGATTGGGAAGAAGTGTCTGTGGTTGATCCTGCTGCATTTCAATTTCTGTTGTGCTCTGAAGAGGTTGAGAACGTTGGGATCTGGACTGTGGTGAAACGATTGAGGCTTTGTTGGAGTTCAAGTGAAGACAGTAAGAGAGAAGGCTTACAGGCAGTTCTGTACCCTCTGTCTCCTGCAGGACCACGGGGCAGGTGGATGAAGGGCTGGGCAGGAGTCCCAGCACGCAGTCCTTGCAGTGCCACACAGTGCCTGGCCTTGGCCCAGGTCTTTGAATGAACCTGAGGGGTGGGCTCTGGCTGGTATGCTGTTTATGACCCTACTTACCCATTAATTTATTAAGAAGTTCCAAAAATGTGTGTGTTTTGCCTTTCTGTATCTTCACAACCTGCCCTTAGGTGGCTGGCAAGCCAGTTGGACGACCAGTGTGGGAATGTGATGATTTCTATTTATAAAGTTTTGGCTTCTTCGTCTTCTGAGCTGAAAGTTGAAAAACTCGTTCGTGGCTGTTTTGAGCATTTCTGACTATGAATCACAAGGAAATTGCATAATGCTGCAGCGCTTCCTTCTATTGCTCCTGGCTTTACAAGCGCCGCTCCTCCGGGGAGGCTGGGGAAGTACCTGCTGGTCTGAATGCGCTGGAGGAGCAGCTCCAGCACGAGGACTGCGTGGATCCTGCCATCGTTCCGACCACCTTCCTGCCAGGTGGTTGGAGTGGTGGGATCGTGCTTCCCTGGAGATGGAGATCCCTCCATCTGTGGGGGCAGAGCAGGGCTGCTGGCGTTGCTGTGAGTGGAGGCTTTCTGTCAACCGCTGCTGCCTCCGCCTCAGAGGGGCAGGCGGTTTGTTGCTCTGGTTTTTTGCCATCTGGGCAAAATCTGGTACTGATACCCAAAGGTGACAGAAGTCAGGAGCTGTGCAGAACGTTGTGCAGTCTCCGAGGGTTAAGGCTTTGTTTGGGCCACTTTGATTTTTAAGTAAAAACCTTTTCTGTTTATGGAATGCAGTTGTTTTCTGCAAGGCTGTGTGCAAACATGCCATTGCCATGTGAGAGCACAGTTAATTTATGGTGGAGCTTGGTGGACTTCGTAGCCAAACCAGTGTGAAACCTGAAATGAGGAAATAAACATAAAATTACTCAACACCTCCTTTTCTTAGTTCCCCTTCCAAACCCCAACTTGCTTCTTTTTTCCTTTTCTTTACCCACAATCCAGCTTCACCCCAAGCAGCCCACAGGCAGGCAGTTGAGCGAGCACAGAGCCAGCAGCTCACATGTGTGCCATTTACATAGGAGCAGGTTGTAAAAACTGGTGAACTCAATTCTTGTTGATTTCCTTGTGTGCAAGCAGAGGCTGGTATCAGGCTGCACATGGTGGCTGCAGGAGAATTTTAGGGTATGAATGGTGGATCTTAGAGGATTTTTGATAAAGAAAATCTACAATTTAGCCTTTTTTTTTAATTAGCTACAGTTGCAAGGTAGGTGGGCTGTGGTGGAATTGTAGGGGATGGTGCAGGTGGAACATGCACAGCTTGTAACTTGGTTTGTGCCAGCAATCGATGCGGACTTGGGCATGGCGAATAGCAAGAACCTCTTTAGAATTTGGCACCATTTCACTGGGAAGCTGAGATGTGTGAGGCAGGATCTTAGGATCTTGTGCTGTAGGCCCTGTGTATTACCAAGGCTGTTCTGGAAGCGTGGAGTGTTGATGCCTGTGGAATCAATTGGGGCTGAGTGAACTTTGCCATGCCAAGGCCCTGAGCTGGTACCTGCTGGCCACCCCTTGGAAACTCTTGTCCCAAAAATCTCTTTCTTCAGAAGGCTTTCGGTGGTACAGCAAAAGGGTTTCTTTTACAAAGTAGTGTTTGTTTTGGAAAAGGGGAGGGTATTGCAGAATCGGGGCTTAGTTAAAACCTTGATGTTGTAGAATGGTGTTGATGCATTACCACTGACGTGGATAAAAGGTTTGTCCTGAGCAAGATAGGTGCAGGAGGACAGCATCTCCTTGTTTTATGGTTGCATGGTTGACTCTGGATGAAATTTCCCTTATGGCATGTGCATACTTTGCGATTAATGGCACAAGTGTGTTGTGTTTCCTTGTCTGTCCTTTCCCTTTTTGTAAAGAACAGTGTGATGATTAATAACCTCTTTGTGGTTTTGCTTAACCAAACTGGAAGAACAAATATGCAGGCAGACACATTTCCCCCTGGAGCTGTGGTGCTGTGTGCCATCACTTGGAGCTGCAGGAGCAGCCCCAGAGAGCTGGGCAGTGCAGGCAGAGCGCGGGACAGCAGGCACTGAAGCTGGTGGGATCCCAAGGACAGGAGCTGGTGTTCACTGTGCAGGAGGTGGCTGGGCTTCGACCGCAGCCCTGGGCACAGCAGGGTGCTGGTGTCCAGCTCGTCTGGGATGGATATGGCAACCTGCTGATGGAGCATAACGCCTGACTTGCCCTTCTGTTCTATGCAGTGCTCAGCTGTAAGCCTGGGCTCCTGTGGGTGAGCTGCAGCAGGGGGCTTGTAGTGTGAGTGGTGACCTGAGGAGGGGTCTCACGCCCTGCAAGCCCCCGCTGGGTGGGACTGCTCTCAGCCCGTGTCTGTGCTCCCTTCAGCAAGTCTCCAGTGGTGAGACTGAAGCTGGAGAGGAATGCATCTTACTGGAGAGCTGCCCTCATGGCCACGGCTACAAGGCGGCCCCACGGGTGGAAAGCCTGCTGTGTGCTTCCTTCCCTCTTTTCACTTATTTTATTTTCTTGATACAAATGCTGTTCCTGGAGGAAAACTCGCTTGCTGACTCTGGCTGTTTTTGCTGCTGAATCATCCCCCAGCTTCCAGATGTGGGATGATGGCCTTTCTTCTGCAAACAAAAACCCCACTTCGCCTTGTACTGCACAGACCCATCCCTGGGGGGCAGCTGGGGAAGGTGCTCCTTGGGAATGCTGCAGGAATGTTGCAGGTTTTGGAGCCTGGGAAACACCTGGGCTGCAGCACCCAGGAGCTGCTTGTGGATCTCTGCGTCCTTGGGGTTAATGTCACTAATTGGGAGCCCTGACTGGGGCATGTCGTGAGCTGCATGATGGTGGCTCAGGGCCTCACTGCCACCCTGCTCTCCCGGATGCTCTGCTCATTGCTGTGCTGTGCGTTGCTATCAACAGTGCTGTTGGAAACTTTCCTTCCCCACCTGCTATTTCTGGATGCAGCATGTGGTTAAATCAGAGCACCAGGCCCTTGGAAGAGGGCTCCCAGCTTTGTTCCCTGCGAGAGGAAGGGTGTGCACGCCGATGGCTTTGTTTAGCAGCCTACACAGGCATTTCTTCCTGTTACAGTGGATGCTGCCACGCTCAGCTCCACCTTGTGATGCTGACGGAGTGCTGTGTGTGTGTTTTAGTTTGGGCTCTGGGTTGGTGAAGGACTTTTGTTGTTTTTTTCTTTAACCATCTTCATCTGTTGAGGTTGAGAAGCACAACCTGTTTGAAGGCTGACCTCCTCAGCCACGGTTTCCGTTATGCTGAGCTTTTAAACCATGCTTAAACTGTGATTAACGCCCTCCGTTGACATTTTCCCCTGTTTGCTTCTGTCCAGTAAAGCACTGCTTTTATCTGAAGTAGCCTGGCTGTAATGTGCTCAGGACAGGTGGATGAGGGGCAGCTTTCACACATAGGGTGCCATCACAGTGCTGGCTGAGGGCGGCTCATCCTGCTGCAGTTCAGCTGCTCTGTGAATTCATGATGTTTCCTTTCCTCTTTGCCTGACTCATCTACTCACTTGTAGGTACACGTGAGTGAGGATGGCTCCCAGATTCTGTGATTCTGATTCCCTGCTCCTTGCCCAGCATGCACCCCCAGGTGCTACTGCAGTGCCCATAAGACATAAGGGGAATCATTGGCTTTACTCTAAGGTTATGTCCTTTATAACAGAAGACTTCAGAAGAGCAGAATGCCCACCTCTGTTGTGTTTCAAAGCCCATGAAGTTTTCATTCCCACCCAGCTGGTGCCATTCGTTCACAGTTCTTTTTGGAAAGCGATCTGGTTGTTGGTACAGCTCTGGCTGCTGCAGTGTGCTGTCCTGAGGGGTACAGCTCTGTGCTGGCCTGGGGGTCTGGCTGGGGGGGGACGCTGAGGCCAGGCCGCTTCCCAGCTGCAGCCAGCATCTTCATGAGACTTTCTTCTTGTGTTTTCCAGGTCTACAACTCGAACAAGGACAATCAAAGCGAAGGCAGTAAGTATATATATATGTATGTGTGTATTTCTTTAAGCAAACCCTTGAGAAATGAACGGGCTCCTCCATCTGCTGCAGCAGGGGTGCTGGTGGCATCCTGCAGTCAGTAGCAGCTTGCTTGGCAGAACCAGAGCCTGGAGGATGAGCTTGCTTTTTCCAAGGGGAAAGTGGAACACAAATGTAAAGACTGTGGAGTTCTTACCTGATTGAAATTGTCAACAGCACCCCTTCAAAAACAAACAAAAAAATTCAACAAAAAACTAGGCTATTTTTAACTGTGCTTCATGCAATCAAAGACCTGAGTCAAGACGGCACTTGTTTCTCTTCCTAGACAAGTAGTTGTACCTGGTCCTGGCTCTCAGGTCCTTTGTTTCAAAGCTTTTCATTGAGCCACTTCCCAGTAGGTCTGAATTTGCCATAATTGCAACATTCAGAACTGATCCCTTCTCTCCTTCCCCCAAAGTCATTGGTCGTGCAAGAGCCTGACCCACACCAATAGTTAGTAAATTGTTTGTTTTTGTGCTGCCTCAGTCAGGGCATTTTTCTCACCATAATAGGTATAATTTGCAATTCATTTTTACCTCACGCCCATTTTCAGCCCTTGCATGGAACACTCACTTCCTCACTTCTGCTCTCTGTCCGTGTTGGTCTTCCATGTTGTCGTTTTGGTTTTGTGCAGCCCAGGTGATGCTCGGGGGGGTTGATCACTGGGCTTCACACCCATGGGCACAGAGTGCCCTCACTGAATGTGGAGTCTGTGTAGTGCACTTCAATGTGTTCTGTTTTGCAGAGAATCAAAATATGGTTCCTAGGGACAGAGAACAGGACTTGCTCAATTCTGTCCTAATCTGGCCATTAATTGTCACTGCTCTGTTCCCTACACACAACCCCTGGCTGTGCCAGGACAGTATGTGCCGATTTGGCTCAAGGAGCTGTGTTAAAAAACCATTTTCTGAACTTTATGGAGGGGTGATGCAAAAGCAGGGAAACGTTTGGGATGGGGGCGGGGAGGGAGGAGGAGCAGTGAAGCAATCCCTGCTTCTGAAAGAAGTGCTTGTCAGGCTGTGGCCTTCCCATCTTACGTGCTGTCAGCCGGCAGTCCTTGTGGGGCTGGTAGTTGCGCTGCAGTCATCCTGCATAGCAGCGCTTTGGCGATGGGAAGAGCACGAGTCAGATGTGCTCATGGCTTTCCCAAGGTCATTCGTGTTGTCTAATCCAGGATTGCAGCTGCCAGGCTTGCGGCAGGCGCCATGTAGAGGCTCCTGAATGCTCACCTAGGGTTTCTTTGGGAAAGGGCTGCCTGAGGTTCTCCTGCCCAGGGTGGGACCTGGGGTATGCTGGGGGCTTTGAGCGTTTCACCGGCTCATCTGGCTGCAGGCGGCCTCCCTGGGCCAGCTCCCAGCCCCCAGCAGCTCTGGGAAGTTGTGTGTATGGCTCTGGTGGTAATGCAGCCCACGCTGCTGTCGTGCTGTGCTCTGAGGCTGTTCAGCGTTTGGCAAAGGCTTGGGAGGCTCAGACAAAGACCGAATGCCAAGTTTCTCCCTGCTCGCCTTCACCAAACAAATACTGGGGTTTAATCAGCCCAGGGGGCTGTGGCAAAGCTGCTCATCTTTCAGTATCTTGACTGTGGTGACTGTCCATCTGAAAAATGAGAACATCTCCATGTCTCTGCTCTGCAGACCGAACCACAGTGCAGCTTTGCGGTGAGTTGGGACCCCAGGGTTAGGGCTGCTCCTGCACAGCCCGGTGGCAATAATTTCACACGTGCCTATGACCAAACTGCTGCTGCTGTGCTCTGACACCTGGCTGTGCTTTAGCACATTAGAACCATGTCTGCAGCAAGCTGCTGGCCTCACCAGCCCCACTTCAAATTGATTTGGAGGCTGGCTCTGTGCCACGGAGCCCTTGTTACAGGAACTTCCTATAAGGACTTGAAATGACTGTAATGATTGAATGGAGTCCGGATGCAGTGCCTGACCCTGAAAACCTATATAACTCTGCTTCCTGCCTTACTTACGCTGGTCTGAAAGAGAATGAGACTGGGAGTTCTATAGTGAGGTCTGCTTTTTGGTCACTATCTAATTTTACAGAGCTTTTGGATTTTACATCCTGCTGTGTGGCCAGATGGCCATCAGCCTGCGGGGTGATTTATCTTAATCTTCTTTGGGAGCTGGGAGGAAGCAAAGCAGAGTGCTGGGGGCTGAGTGGGTATCAGTGCACTGCTAGAGCTGGGTGAATTGAGACGTGCTGCTTCTCAAATGAAGGGGACTTGCTCTGCTCTGTGGAAATAATCATAGAATCTTTTGAGTTGGAAGGGACCTTTAAAGGTCATCTAGTCCAACTCCCCTGCAATGAACAGAGACATTATAGCTCAGTCAGGTGCTCAGAGCCTGGCCCATCCTGGCTTTGTATGTCTCCAAGGGACATCCACCATCTTTCTGGAACAACCTGTGCCAGTGCATCACTGCCCTTATTGTAAAAAATATTTTCCTTATGTCCAATCTCAGTCTCTCCTCTTTTGGTTTGAAATCATTTCCCCTTCTCCTATCCCAGCAGACCCTGCTGGAGAGTCTGTCCTCTCCTCACTGCTTTCACCTCCTTTTTTCACATCCACTTGATTCTCCACCTGTTCAGGATGGAAGCATGGCCTTTCCTGGCGGTCCTTGTTCCCCACAGCTTGGCATCTCTGCTGCTTTGAGACAGCTAAGACTGAAAACTCATTTCTCTCTGGTCTCCACTTGGTTTCTTTCTCCCTTTTAAAGCCAGTGGTGTTTGAAAAAAGTTCATAACGATTGTCATTGTGATGGCACTGTGTTACAGGACACAGAATTGCGTAGTGGGGGAATGCAGGGGAGCTCGCTTTGGCCTTGCATTGCCTTGGCTGATGCGTACACGTCTGGAGCCAGCAGGGTTACATGTGGCTCAGCAGAGCCAGCTGTGTCTTCGTGCCCCTTCACTGGTGCTCTGAGATACCATATCAGTATAAAGTAGAAGAATTAGTGGATTAAATAGAAATAATCTGGTAGGCAAAAATAGGACAGGATGAGACCGGCTCAGTAGGGCTGGGAATACGATGTTACACGAAGGGCAGATAAATATTTGTGTGTGCAACATTGGTAGTACAAATGATATGCATCACCTTTGCCTCTCAGCAGTGCTTTGAAATGTTGCTCTGGAACGAAGAGCCTGTGGTGTGTATCTTGGGCTGGAGGCTGTGTTTTACGTCTGTCCCCTGGGGAGCCTCCATGGACAGGGAATAGAGGGGAGGAAGGGTGCAGCTTTGCTTTGTGGGCAGAGTGCAGCGCTACCTGCTAATAGAAGGCTGCGGGTCTGCTCCCAGTTATGATGGAGAGGCAGTTTTAAATAGATAGGATGGGGATTAGGGATGCCTGTTGTGAGGAGTGCAGATAGGCTGTGCTTTTCTCTGGTGGGTCTGAGGGTTTGCTCTTCACTGCTGCCTTCCCTCTCTGTGCAGCCCCCAAAGGCAGGCTGGTCTGTAGCTCCTTCCTTTCTCAGCACTCCCAGCCTGCAGACATCAAACAGCCCAAGCCCAAAGCTGCCGACCATTCTGCTGCTGGAGTGAGTGGAGCCAGCAAAAGGGTCAGGGCTGCAATGGATACAAATCTGACTTTCATCTGTGCTGCTGCAGTTCGGAATCATTGGGTAAATGAATGAGATAAAGGGAGACTGCTTCTGTGAGAGGAAAATCAAGCTTTTATGATGCTCATTAAAAGTTAAATTTAAAGATGAATAAAGGCACTTTGGATATTTAATCAGATATTATTTCTGGATATAACTACTGCAAATAAATCCCCGACCTTTCCTGATCCAGAGCTCAACAACGAGTTGGAGAGCTTATTCATCTACTTGGGAGGATTATGCTCAGTCATTTCCATCCTGAAAAACTGCTCCTGTTTCTCCCCTCTGCTATGGCCAAGCAGCACAGCGAGGTGTGGGCTCAGCCCTTGCTGGGTCCTGTGGTGGGGCATGCAGGGAATGGGACTGGTGCTTGTGCTCAAGCTCAGGCATCCCAGGGGCTCAGGGACACTGCTGCACCGTGGGAATGGTTGGCACTTAGAGCGTGCGAGCCCAAAATGGTGAGTTGTGTTGGCTGGACAGCATTGTACAGGGATGCCAAAAGATCAGGACTGAGTGCTAGGAAGCCCTGCTGAGGTGGGCCTGTCTGTACAGAAGGGCTTCCAGACTGTGCTTTCCTGCTCCTCAGGCACCCCATGCAGTGTTCTGTGGTGATCAGGTGCTGCAGGCAGCGTCCCTCTGGTGGGTGCTGCCATTGTTGGGTCTGTGCCTGCAGGGCGGCTGGGAGCTGTGCTGAGCCCCTGAGTGCTGAGCAGAGCAACCTGGAGCTTTGGGATGTTTGTACATCCTGCAGCACAGGAATCCTCCAGCCTATGTGCTTACGTTGGCTCAGCACTCCACCGTGCTTGCCCAGAAAAATATAATAGACCTGTTTTACTGTTTCAGGTTTTTGTACCATTCATCATGTAACAACACCGGCAGGGAACTCAAAAGGAGTGATTAGCAAGGGCTGGCCCCATGCAAGGCATAGGCAGCCAGTGGACTGGAAGCCTGTCGTGAACCAAGTGCAAATCTGTGTTTAAATAAACGATTTGAGCAGGGAGAAGGAAAGGAATAAAGTCACGTGTGCCTTGCTGTGAGGACACTGCCAGCCCTGGGCTCTGCTCTGCTCTTCTTGGCCTCTAGGCAAGGCACGGTGTTGTCTCTTCCAGCACGACAGTTCCTCGTGCCTGTGCAGAAGTGAAGTCCTCTGCTTTTAAGATAATGCTGTGGCTTTCCTCGCTCCAGCGCCCTCCCTCTCAGGATGAGAGGTTAGCAGCATTGTGCAGTCCTTGCGTAAGATGGCCCTGGGAGAGCTGTGCAACTCCTTGCTGGAGAACGCGGTGGGGATGCTGGATGTCTTCGTCTGGGTCGCTCCCGGGTGTCGGTGCAGCCCTCTGCAGCAGAGTCAGGGGCTGGGTTAGCTGGGTGGACGTGGAAAGGATTTATAGGAATTACCAGCACTTAGATGAAGCGGGCTGTTCTGTGCAGTTTTTTTGCGGGATTTATTGTGTCAAAAATATATGATTCCCCTTTTTTATTCACAAGCAACCTAGTGTCAGCTTTGCAGACGAAGGTCTCGCTGGGATATCTCCCCTTGGTTCATATTTTGACCAGCTGTAGCTATAAATCTCTGGCACAGCCATAGCTGCTGGGGGGCAGAGATGCAGGAGGTGAGGATCAGAGCAGTGCTGAGGCTGCAGCGACGACCGAGGGTTGTGTGCTCACCACACTACACCTGGTACAACGCTGCGCTCGTCTCTCTCCTCTGCAAGCACCTCATTTATCTTATTTTCCTTCCCCCCCGTCCGAGCAGGAAGACAGCATTGCTGTGAATGCTGTGGATGGCTGCAGGATGAGAAGCCATCCCTCTGCAGGGTGTTTGTCACTTCTCTCCTCTCTTCCCTTTCAGCTGCCCAGTTGGATAATATCGGCTTCAGCATAATCAAGAAATGCATACACGCTGTGGAAACGAGAGGTAGAGCGCTTCACCAGATGGTCTGGTTTGGGGGAAGGCGTTGCATCTGCTCACAGCGCAGCGATTGCTTACCTGCTCTTCTCATGAGCGCGGATGATTTGTTAACCCTGTGAATCCCACGTCAGATAACCGCTGTGATGTGCTGCCGGGTGGCCTGGGTTGGCAGTGGGGTCGGGGATGGGGCTGAGCCAGGAGGTGCAGCACAGAGCTACAGGCTGCGCCACAGCACGCCCCCCTGCAGTGATAACAAAGCATTTCCTCTCGTATGGCTGACAAACAGACGTGCATTTCAGCCCTTCTCCATGCAGAACGTGGAAAAGGCTCAGACCTAAGCATGAAGAACTTGGCCCAGTGAAATTTTTCTCAAATTGCCTTTCTGGTTTACGTTGTGTGCAGATCCTTCATGGTGTGGCCATACTCCCTCACTGCTAGTGCTGTGCGGCACGGTGGCCTTGGATTTTTGATTCTTGAGCTAATTGGGGTCATTACTTTTAATCAACACGTGAAAGCCCTGAAATCAAAACCAATTTTTACCCTCTCCTATAATTCTGTATGCAGTCGGTGGGAGTATTTAATTATTGCTGTTGGAGGGCCCAGAGAAATGAAATAAATGTTAGTAGCTCTTTTGACATTCTCCTAATAAACTCTTTATTTTTTCCAGGGATCAATGAGCAAGGACTCTACAGAATTGTTGGAGTAAACTCTAGAGTTCAAAAGCTGTTGAGTATATTAATGGGTGAGTAGCTTATATTTTGTTATGGGCAAGTGGGCTGTGCTGCTTCCAAGTCTTCTAAACCAAGAACGGAGGCTCCTGTCTGGGTACCTAATCGTGGTGACTGTGCCCTTAGGACCACATGCTGTTAGAGGCCCGGAGGTCCCAGGGCACTACTGGCAGGTTATGGAGGTAGGACTTGTGGAGAGCATTGCTCTGACAAGTTTTCTGTTGTGGTCACTGATGTCCTACTCACATGCGCTACAAATTTTGGCATCCTTCCCAAATGCAAACTAAAATCTTAGAAGAAAGGGCTGAAAGCTTTGGTTTTTAATCTCATAGCTCCCGCAGCATTCCCAGAATACTTTTTAATTATTTTGTTGCATGCTGCATGCTGCCTGTGGCTCTGACTTTCTCCTTGGACCTTCCTGTGCCTGTTTTAACATAGTTTTGCTCAGAGCTTTCAAGCATGCGTTTTCTCATGCCTGAGACGTTGGGTCCCACAGCTGTGGGTGCTCGGGAGCAGAGGAGCTGTCAGGTCACACCGTGGCAGAGCCTGGTGCTGACAGCATGGCCTTGGTGTGCAGCCACGGAGCTGCTGCCCAGCAGCCCTCAGAACCCCTATGCATTTCTCCTTGCAAAAAGTTTGAGGCCGTTGCGTTCCATTCTGAATGTCTTCCCTCCTTTCATCCCCATTCCTTCTTTTCCCACCACTGAAGTGCTCTGTGAGCAAAGCCCCTGGTGGCTGTTGCCGATGTCAGCACTAACCTCCTCAAAACTGGTAATCCAGAGAGACTATTAGGAACCAGAAGGGTAAGGCTCTGAATCACAGCCCTCAGCTCTCTCCTGACGCAAGGGGACACGTCTGCATCACTTATGCTCTGGCATTTGGAAAGTTCGCCGCAGTCACAAGAGCGAGTGACTGCCTGTTTTTCTTTTATTAGTAGAAGTTTGGCATAGGCTCTGGAGCATGTGAGTACGTCCTGCTGGCCACGCAGATAAGCCAGCTCTGTCTCATGGTGCACACATTTGGCACCATTGCGTTAGAGCATCAGCTGAAGAGCATTGCTGCCCACTGATAAAAATAGGCCAGGGCCTGGGTGCCGTGCAGCATGGCAGCCTCTGCCGTGCCAGGTCCTGTGCCTGTGGCTTCTGAAGCAGTGTGCATCATCTCGAGAGCTGCAAGGTGACTGAACCTGCTCTGTTCTCCCATGGCCGAGCTCCATTGCATTGGCCTCACGGTTGCATCAGTTCTGATTAGAGGCTCTGAGGCTGTGACAGATGGCAAAACTTGCTTGTTTAAAGAGCTCTTCGGAGCTGGGAGGGATTCAAAGTTTTGGACACCATCCAGCATCCATTATCTTCTCAGTGACCGAAGCCACTGAGCTGTTGACCTCGTGTCTCATAACGTGGTGATGTGCAGTCAGTGTTTTCTCTTTGTTGTGGTGTGTCTTCATTAGCTGTCGGCACTGGGAGGCCGAGGGGAGGTGGCTGTGTGCTCAGTGAGCGCCTGCTGGCTGTTGGCAGCTTCCTCCCCTGAGGGCCCCCCATCACCAGGGCTCTCTGCAGACCCATCTCCCCACCTTTCTCTCAATCACCAATGGCTAAACCGTCCTTATGTGGAGCTGGCCTTTGAACTGTCTGCAAGGAAAGTGTTGAATTGTCAAAGCCTCTTTTGTTCTGTGTTGTCCCTCCTGTTTGGTGTCCTGAAGGTAGCAGCACCGCTCGGCTCAAAAGTTTGTGTTTGCATCCAACCCTCGTGAAAAGCAAAGCCAGATTTTGCTTGCGACTCCAGATTCCCCTTATATTTAGAAATGAATGTGGGCAGCTTCAGTGATTCACACGCAGTTTAAATGGCAAAAAGATTGAATTTCAGCGTGCGGCGGCTGATGTAAGTGACACTGCTGGGAGGGCCCTGGCTGCTTTGCAGAGGCCGTGGCCGTGCTGTGCTGCAGTGCTCTGGGGTCAGGGGTGACACAGCCGGGCTTGGGCAGAGCCCCTGGCCTCGTAGGAGCTCGGAGTGGAGCGGGCAGCGTGTGTGGATGCTTGTGGGGGCAGCTCAGCTCTGGGAGGGTCAGCTGCCTTTCTTCAGCCTTCCCCATATTGCCGAAATGGGGACAAAACCCAGCCAACAGAGCTCGGTCACTTGGAGCCCTGGTGGAAGGGCATACTGCTGAGGGCGCTGATGCTGTAGCAGCTCTGAGCTGAGGGGGTGGGCTGGGCTTGTCTCTGCTGCACAGGCTGGGGCACAAGGCGTCCTCCAGGTTGTAGGTGCTGTCACCTAATGTCTTACGGCTGTTCTGGAAGTCTCTCCAGCCACCCAAGGGTGGGTGGGAATTGTGGCTGGGTGATGAGCTTGTGCTCCAGGCAGTTCCTCTCATCGTGCAGAAATTGGTGTGGAATTGAAACCATCTGTCTTATGGCAGCAGCTTTCTCCGTCCCCAGGAAATAGATTGAGAAGTTCTGTGAGAATGGGCTTTGGGCAGGGGCAGCAGGAGGCTGCTGTGCTGGGCTGGGGCTGTCTGCCCAGTGTGGGCTCCTGCTGCCAGCCCATGTCCTGCCCCCAGCACCTGTATGGTCACCTGCAGCGCAAAGACACTACTGGAAAACAAAAGACAAAAGCAGACAACGCGTTCTATTTTCTGTATGAGTTAGATCTGGAGATGTGCCGCTTCCTTTTCTTTCCTTTTCTTTCTTCATGTACCCATACGTACGCTTTAAGTAATGAATTCCTTTGCAGCCCGTAGAGAGCAGGACAAACGTCCTGTGTGGCATTTGTAACCGTGCAGAACGAGCTTCCACCACAAGTGGGAAGTGATGCTGGAGTGTCGTGGCGTGAGCAAAATTCGTTCTGCGTCTGCTGAGAGACAGCAGAGCAGTAATGACAGCAGTGGGGAATTCAGGGTTAACACTGCACTGAGCTTGCTGGATGCTTTTATGGGCGCTATTTCACATTTACTCTGGTTCGTATGGAAGTTTGCCCTTGTGAGCAAACTGCATCCATCATTTAGGTGGCAGACAGATGCTGCCTCTGTAATGCACTGCCATAGCTGTGTGCAGGCCGGTGAGCGTGAAGGTCAGGGAGAGCTGCTTATCAGCACAGAGTCTTTGCATGTGAGCAGCCATACGACATCACCTGCTGTTCCATGAACCATATTTAACAGCTCCTGGATGACCTTTCGAAAAGACGTCTGGTTGGGAGCTGTTGGCTCAGCTCCACCAAAGGCCTTGCCATTAAAAAGATGGTTTTTTGGTTTGTTTTTAGGTTTTTGTTTGCCTTTTTCTTGTGGGGGCTTATCTTTAGTCTGTTAGAATTGCCTCCTTAGGAAGGTCATGCAGTGGGAAGTTGCCTTGGCATCGAGAGGGAAGGATGGCGTTCAGTTGTGATTAATGCGAGGCACGTGATGTGGGTGTGAATGTACGTATCTCCAATGGTTACTGTTTCAGGAGTTCCTCTTTCTGTAAATTAAACTGAGGGAAACTCTATAACTCCTATTCAGTGCGTTATTTTCATTCATTTTAAAATTCCACTATAGTTACCCATTCCTTTAAAATTCAAAAGCACGTCACGCATGTCTGTGAGGTGAAGGTACTGCAGAGCTGCCTGTGGCACCTCGTGGTGTCGGCAGCTGCACCCAGCAGCAGTGCCTGGCCGTGGGGCTCAGCCTGCAGGCAGGATGTGGTCCTGTGTTGCCGGAGGGTCCTACTGCTGTTTCTCCTGAGGTCTGGAGGGGTTTCCTGTGGTCTCACTGAGGTCAGAGCGTGGCTGTGTCCTGCTGCTGCCTCCTGCCCAGCAGTGCCCGGTGCATCCCTCACTGCCGCTGTGCAGGGTTGTGCTCTTTGCTCTCTGTACTCTGAGCCTTCAAGTGCTGGTGTGAGATGCCCGTGGCCAGGCAGGTTTGTGCCGATTGTGCTGGTGGTTTCTAAGCTGCCTGTTTCTAATTGTTAGCAGAGAGTCGGGAGCGGTGTCATCCACTTTGTTTATGGCACGTGGTCGCCGAGCGTGGCCAGTGCAGGTCCTGCTGTGCGACTGGTGCTGCGCGTGGCTGCAGTGCTGGGGCAGGGAGCCTCAGCCCTGTCGGAGCTGTGATTTTTCTGCTGAGTCCTGCAGGGATCTGTGGTTGTCTTCTCCTGGGTCGTGTCTGTGCACTGCCATCACCGCTGTCATCGACTGCCGCGCTCCCCCGCACCCTGTTTAGTGCTATGCTTTGAATCCAGCTGCCAGGATCATTGCTCGTGACTGATGTTTTTCTTTTCTACCCTGTTTTTTTGTCCCGTGCAAGTGAGCATGTCCTGTGTCTGGTGATGAAGTCGGCTTCCCTGAGAAGCGCCTGCTGGGGAACAGCTTGTGGTCTCTGGGGTTTGGAAGAGCAATGAGAATGGGATGTGATGAGCGTCCGTGCAGCTGGCTGTGCGCTGTCGGTGCTGAGTGGTACGAGCTGGGATTGTCTGCACTTGGGTTCACTTGTTTACTTTTTTTCTTTTTTCCTTAGATCCAAAAACTGCCACTGAAACCGAAACTGAGATCTGTGCAGAATGGGAGATAAAGACCATCACCAGTGCCCTGAAAACGTACCTGAGGTAAGGGAAGCGAGGCTGTCTGTCATGCAGCTTCAGGACCAGTTCCATGATGGTCAGAGGCATTACTGCCTATTATTTAACAAAAGCATTTATAAACAAAGAAACTGCCCTTAGAGAATTCATTCTTTTTCCTTGACCCTCTGGCATGCTTGAGTAGGATGGGGGGAATATTCTCAGCTTTCTGATAAGAACATGTATTGCATGAATGTAACAACAGGGCTCCTTCTCGCATGCCCTGCTCTGGTGTAGGCTTTTCTCTGAGCCTTTCACTGCGGGCTTCAGCCTGAGGAGTGCGTGGAGAAGGTGAGCACAGTGCTCCTGTCAGGGCCGTGGCAGTTGTTGCAGTCCCTTCTCAGAACTGGGTGCTAAGCTTTATGTAAGTAATAATTTCCATATGAAAGCTGATGCTGTTATCATGTGCGTTATCTTCCAGAAATGTTAGTTTCTTGGCAGCAGTCAGTATCTCATTCTCAACGACGTGCTTCTACCTGTTGTGACTGCAGGTTTTTGCTTTGTGTTGTCCTTCTGTGTGTTGGGTTGTTGGTTTTTTTTTTGAGAGGCACAGAGCAAGAGAGAAGCTAAATCCAATTAGAGCAATGAGGGTCATTAGCTGGGTGGATCTCAGCCTAGAAAATCACAAAACACTGCATAATTTTGTATGATTGGCAACCTTTGTTCCAGAGCTTGAACTGTTTGCAAGGCAACAAGGAATGTCAGCAGCACCAAGATGTCCCACTGAAGGGATGTGGAAGTGGGAGGGAGAATGGGAAGTGTAATGGGAACAGTGACTGTTAAAGTTTTATGACTGGGCTCGTTTCTCTTTTTAATTTATTTTTAAACTTACTCAGAAATCACAGACTCGCTGAGGTACAAAAGCTTTGTTTTACTGTGGTACTGAAGGAATGTCAAAATTAAAAATGAATTTAGTATGGTACAAAAAAAGAGAGGAGGAATAAACTGAAGGTGCTTCAATAAGTCTTGCGCCTCCTGATGAGAGGAATCAATTGGAGTTGTTACCGCTTCGTTCTGCTCTCAAAAAACAGAGCTGAATTTATGGAGATTGCAGAGCTTTATTTCTGCAGTTCTGTGGATGGTGTTACTCACTTGTGCTGTGTGTGATACCTTTTTATCTTCCAGAATGCTTCCAGGGCCGCTCATGATGTACCAGTTTCAAAGGAGCTTCATCAAAGCAGCAAGTGAGTTTGTTGATGTTTACAGCATGGGGCCAGAAAAGGAACAGGACTTGCAAGCAGCTGAGCATAACCTCTACCCTGCTGCTCTCCCACTGATCCCTTGTTCTTAAATCTTGGAGACCAGAGCAAGAATTGAGATACAAGGGGCAGGGTGCTGTGTGGGACTTTCTGGATAAACAAAAAGCACGTGGTCATGTTTAGAGGAGGGCTGTCTGACGGCAGCAGCTGGTGGTGCAGGTATTTCTTCTTCTGACCATCAACCTCCAAAACGAGCGAGGCTGTTGTTTGAACGACACCTACACCGTTCTGATTTTATCAGTTGCGGTTCCAGCATCTGAGCTCCTTTCCTTTGTCTGCCCTGGGAGCATGCTTTGTGTGGGAGCAGGTGGCTGTCAGAGCTGTGTGCTGCGGGGAGGACTCACGTCGGTGGTCACATCGGCAGTGGCCTCCTGGGAAGGGATGGAGGCAGGGGCTGCTCGCATGGCTCCTGCTCGGGCTCTGGGGCAGCCCCAAGACTGCAGGCTGCCACTTCCCAGGCGTTGTGCTGAGCGCACGCTGTGCCCAGAAGCACGTTGGATGGGATCGTGCTGCTGCTTCCCATTGTTGAAGTCAGAGGAACGCTCCGGTTACGGCCAGCCCGTTCCCTGATCACAGCTGACTTTTCATGTGGCTGGCATCTGCTCTCAGCCCGTTGTCCCAGCCCATTGGTTTCTTACTTTTTCAAACAACTGATTGGAGCTGGTAAAGAGGAGAACTGCTGTGAGGATACCTGCAGTGTGCCTGGTGTAGGTTAGAGGTAGGGATTGGGAGCCTTGGGTCCCTGGGATGTCTGTGTGGGTTACTGTTTGGGCCCGCGTGTCCTTTTCTATAATAAACCCCTGATGCAGAGATGAATCATCTTTTATTTCCAACACAGAACTGGAGAATCAGGAATCCAGGGTGTCAGAGATCCACAGCCTTGTTCATCGGCTCCCGGAGAAAAACAGGCAGATGCTGCACTTGCTCATGAACCACTTGGCAAAGTACGTATATGACTGATATGTTTTTCTCTCCATTTTCCACTTCCTTTGAAAGTTAACAGTGATAAAAAAAAAAAAGTTTCCTTGTGTTTGTGGTGTTGAGTCATATTTGGTTGATGACCAAGTGGAAACCTGTGTGTGAGATGGGAGGGCAGGGCAGCCCAGTGCCGTCCTGCAGCGGTGTGGCAGCGCTGTGTTGGCTGCAGGTAGAGCCAGGTTAAGATCTTTGCGGGGGTTCAGACCGAGCCTGGGATTAAAGGACTGACAGATATTTCTTTGCAACAATAGGAGACTATTCTGGCGAGTATTTTCTGCCTTAAAGCTACTTAATTCATTAATACTTCTAGGTTACCTTGAAACTTTTCAAGGGCAAAGGAACTGGGTGATTTTTTTGCCTTCAGTGATAGAGCTGACCTGTAATTTCCCATCTTCCTGCTCCTGCTGTTTGCCATGGAAACCTTTGATTAGTGCTTAGGAAGCGAAAGCATCACAAGGTGTTTGTGCCAGCCCGAAGGCTGCTGGGTCGCTGGGTGAGCAGAGGGACTGGGCAGGGCCCACAGACCCGAGCCTTTCAGAAGAAAATCTGGGAAAACCCAAAGTTATCTATTTCGGAGAAAAAATAATAAACGGTGCTTGAAATGTGCTTAAAAACGACTCCAGATGCTTTCTGATGACATGTGTTTGTATCTGTTCCATGGACTCTCCCCAGCAAGGCTGTTAAAAACTAAAGGGCTTGTTTAGATCTCAGTTTCAAAACCTTCTGCATTTATGGGCTGCAACCAAGGGAAAGGCAGTTCCAGGTACTCCCATCCGCCAAGTATGTGCAAGGAGTCGCATAGCTGCTGGAGTGCTTTTCATTTAAAGGGAAACCCTGTGGTATTTGAGTGTGAGATGCGGAGCTGGGGAGGCAGGTAATACAATGGGCTTCAAGCTGTTTTAATGAGGAAGGAACTAAAACAAAATACAGACAATGAGTGGTAGTGGTGCTTGCTATATTAGGAGGAGAAACAGCTTACAGTGTTCAGTGGGAAAAAAATGATCTTGGAGAAAGGCAGGAAGCTGTGGGGATCAGAGCCTGTTCTGTTCCAGCAGCGCTGAGGCTGACCACCCTCAGCAAGCTCAGGGCGCTCCTGGTGTGTGTGTGATGGAGGAAGGGCCGTTGTGTGAGGTGGCATGGGATGTCCCTGGGGGCAGAGCAGCTGGACTCTACAGCCAGGTGCTGCTCCAGAGGGACAGGGCTGTGGACAGGGAGGATGACACCGGCCCCAGTCCTGCTCCTCTCCTCCTGCCCCACGGTGTCCCACTGGGTTTGGGGTCCCTGCAGGTGAGCTGGCAGAGCGCACAGCCAGGTGGGGGGCTTGCAGGCGGTGTGAGGTGTGGGTGAAGTTTTGCATCTGCAGCAAATGGTTGCAGGGAGGCAGAGAGCAGAAGGAGGGGTGTCCTGCAGGGGGGGTTGGGTGCTCTGGGTGGGCTGATGCGAGGGGCAGCCAGCAGTGCTGTCAGAGCAGGCCAGGCAGGGCCCTGCTGCAGCTCTCGGAGGAGATTGCCTCATCTTCTTCCTCTTTTTTTTTAAGTAACATACGAATAATCAAGATTTGCATTTCTATCAGATGAGCTAACAAATATTTCTCACAGTATTGATGTGGAGATCTCGTACACTAAAAAAAGAACCCACTGTGGGTCACACAGAGGTGTTCTGTGCCGTGTTTTGTTTGCATGTTTTGCTGTTGCTTACTGAAAAGGGAAACCAGGCTGCTTGTTTGGCACTGCTTGCAGTGGTAAGAGAGCCCTGCTCACACAGCCCATGCAAATAGCAATTATTATACAACTGAAACCTGAGCCAGGATAAGCACTGCTGAAGTGGTGGAGTTGGGCCCTTCTCGCTTCCACACCTCTTTGTGCTGCCTATGAGCAGGGGCTGCATCCCCTGAAACACGACTTGAGCTGGGACTGTCAGTGCTCCTTCGTCGGTGCCCAGAGCTGCCCGTGTCCTCCTCTGCTCTGCAGACACCATTTCCAGGGAAATTTGCCATTATTATGTTAATCTCTGACCTGTGAATTGATGAAACCTTTAATTTTCTTTTCTGGGGCATGCTCACATTGCTGGGACCTTTGTGATAAACCCAGCTGAATTATTGTTCCTGAAAGATCAAGACCAGTTTGATCTGGTGTTTTCTCAGGAGGATCTGTGCTGAAAAGCCCGACCTTGTGCCCAAGAGACTTCTAAGGATGCTCCAGGAATGTCACTTCCAAATGCTGCTTTACTGACAGCATGCAGCAGCTCTGGTGAAGCCTGTCATTCCCTGGCCTGTTAGCTGAGTTAGCACAACACAGGCTGCTGTGAGCTCAGGGGCGGCCATGCTGGAAGCTGGAGCTTATTGAGAAAATTTCTGGTTGTGTTAGCAGAGTTACAGTGCCATCCCCATCGTTCTGCTCTCCTTTAGTGTGCTTTGTAGGTGCAAAGCAGGAGGTTTTAGAGCCTATTTTTGTGCATTTTTTTCACAGCTGGGCTGGTGCTCGCTGCAGTAGGCAGGGCTGTGTGACAACCCTATGCTATGCCCACCTTGGGCTGCTGCCCACTGCGTGGCATGGCTGCTGGTGCCCGGCCTGTGGGGCAAAGCTGCCTCTGCTCGGGGCATGCACACCTCTCCTTGCAAAAGGTCGAAGCAGTTATTGGGGTTGCAGCAGAAATGCGTGTACGTGTGTTTAGCAAAATTAATTATCTTTAATCATTCACAGCTGTGGCCTGGCCAGCAGTGACTCGTTCCCTCTGTTTTTGCTGTGGCGGTGTTTTCTAGTTCACGTGTTTTACCGCCGTGGCACTGATTGCCATCTCCCGCCCAAAGCATTTCCCACGTATCTGCAGCGATGGTTCCCATGGCAGATCCAGCAGTAGCAGCAGGATGGGGCTCTGCCCGACCGAGTGCTGTTGGCAAAGGAGGGGGAGAAGGAATCTGCTGGGCTCTTGTGCCCAGAAGTGCAGCCTGGTGCTTGGCGTGGCGGCTCAGAGCTGAGCTGGCCATGCTGGCTCCCCGTGGCGCTCAGTGCCTGGCAGCACTGGGATGCACAGCGCAGCACCGGGGCGGCCGCTTCCTGCGCTTTTCCTCCGGTTGTTTTCCCCGTCTTCCCCCGAAGGTGCAGCAGCGATGCGGCTGACGCCTCTTGGCACGGCAGGTCTGATTTCATCCCCGTGGCAGCTGTTTATGTTGCTGTCTGGTAACTATTCATTTGCTTGATTTATGTATTACTTCCAGTAAGTCATTCTTGTCCAGGACGTTCTGGAAATTTCCACTAGCCTCTGAGGCCTTTAAGATACGCTTCTCTTGTATGTTCTTGGCCTGATTTGGCTGCCAAAAGAAAACAGCGAGCGAGATCTCTTGACCTTGCATGGAAAGTGTAAGCAGCATTCCTCCCTCACCGCTCTCCCTCTTCCTCGCTATGGGAATGGCGCCCGCGCTCCGCCAGCCCCGCCACGGCTCGGCTTCTGCATGGGGAGCTGAGTGCATGTGGGGCGTTGCGGTGATGCACGGCATCTGGGTGCTCACTGGAGTGGCAGAGGGCAGCGTTTGATGGAAGGAAGGTGGAAGGTCTGTGTCTGGCCTGTGCAATAGAGATGGACCTCGCACGCTTTCTTGCTACCGCCCTGTTTCTGTTTTTCTGCCATTTTCATGCTGGGCTGAGCTGGGTGTGGGTGCACGCACTGCCTGTGTGTGCCCTACAATAGAATCACAGCTTGGAAAACAGCTCTCAGATCCCCAGCCCGGCCCGCCGTGCCCACTGACCGTGTCCCCAAGTGCCACATCTCCATGGTGCTTGGACACCTGCAGGGGTGGTGACTCGACCACCCCCTGGGCAGCTGTGCCAGTGCTGTTGGAGTGAAACAGTGCACAGAGGAAGGAAGGAAGTGAATTTAGACTGATCACGATTATTAAAAAAATAATAATAAAAATGTAGCAGCAAAAAAAAATGGTTGGCAAGAGTGCCAGGAGCTGATGAAAGTGGTACAGGAGCCAAAGCAGCGGGCACAGGCTGAAACGTGGGAAATTCCATCTGAATGTCAGAAAAAAGCCTTTTCATTCAGAAGGGGGCAATTGCTGGGTGGCAGGGGGCTGCGGAGCCTCTGTGCTGGGGGATGTGGGATGTGGTCTCAGGTGTCCCTGCTGGGCTGGGGCTGGAGCCGGTGCGGTCCTGTGTGTGGAGCTGTGCTCCTCTGCTTCCTTTGTGCTGTGGGGTAACGGGTTGTGTTCCTCTTCCCTGGCTTTAAAAACACAGCTTTGAGCTGTGTTAACTATTTCAAATTGTGTTCTGGAGCCGAGCCCGCAAAGATCAATAAGAATCCCTTTTGCTGTAGTGCTTTGACATTATTAGCAAGTATAGCCAGTTGTCTGTTTGTGTTTTGTTGCTGAGTCGGGGGGGGGGGGAATCCCAACCCAGCCCAGCAGCGCTCGAGCTGCCTGCAAAGGGCAGGATTGGGGCTGGCAGGCTGCAGGAACCGCTGTGTGCAGCGCCGTGCCCCCAGCAGCGCAGGGCTGTGCAGAGCTGGGGTTTGTAGTGCTGGAGACGGGCGGTGGTGGGGAGATGGCTCAGCAGATTAGTCTGAAATCGTAGCGCGACCGTGCTACATGGCTAATCTAATTACAGCAGCTAACTGGAACCACCTGTAGCTGCGTGGAAAGACAAAGGCTGCGGAGGGCCCTGCTCCCCTCGCAGCGCCTCTGGCGGGGCTCTGCTGGCGCTGGGCTCCGCCAGGCTCACACGCATCTGAAGCATTAATGAAATCTGCATGTTTTTACCGTAATGGCTTCGTTTCCCCTGTTCTCTTCATTTTTGCGTTAGGCTCCTGGAGATACGATTAGCTTTAATGTAGTTTGTTAGAGATGTAGTTTTCTAAATAGGACAGATCTGGGGGGTGGAAACTCCGGGATTGCGGGGTGCTGGCCGAGGTGCAGCGCGGGCACTGAAGGCAGCAGACGTGCCGTGGAAATGCGGCAAGTGTGAGCTGC